TAGGATGTGCCTTCACTCTAAACAACTATTCTTTCCAAATCGACCTAATGTCGGTCACAATAAAAAGTTTTGACGTCATCATTGGCATGGATTGGTTAAGTCATCACCATGCCGATATCCTGTGTTACGAAAAAGTCGTTCGCCTTAATCTGCCAAGTAGCGAAACCCACGTCATTTATGGCGACAAACCCGGCACGAACCTTCAAATCATTTCTTGCGTCAAGGCTCAAAAGTATCTACGCAAGGAATACTACGCCTTCTTAGCCCACGTGGTGGATAAGAAACGAGAAGTGAAAGACATCAAGGATATTCCCGTAGTCTGTAACTTCCCCGACATATTTCCCGAAGATCTCCCAAGACTACCTCTCGAACGCCAAGTCGAGTTCAGAATTGACTTGATTCCTGGAGCCACCCCCGTAGCCAAATCCCCATACCATATTTTGTGTGATGATATAGTTGAAAAAATTAAAGAAAGCTTCAACAAGCAATCAAAAGCCGGGAAACAAGCTTATATGAGAAAGCTACAAGAGATATATGATCCGCAAAAAAACTGACATTGGAGAACCTGCAGTTCAAAAAAAACACTCGTGGACGACCAAGTTTGAAGAAACAACAGAAAAAGAAAGTCAATCCTCCAAATCAAGCTCCTAGTAGATACAACTTCTCAACCACATCAGAGTTTGTTGGGTTCGATTTAAATAAAGAACCTAACTTAAATTATGAACCACCGAGATTCTAACTGAGAAGTATTCCAGTGGCTTTATATTCGAAAATAATTGCTTGAAGGGTTAGTGTCACAACCAGGAAATTCTATGATTTTGTAAACATTAACAAGGACAAAACTGTAAACAAAATCTGGAAGCATGCATGATGTTTATTCAATGACAACAAAATTACATCAAAAACTCTATACAAACACTTCAAATAAGTCAACTAAAGATTGGAAACCCTACAAATCCTGGTTTAATTCCATTATGGACTAGGATTTCCTTATTGGGCCTAATGAGCCAATAAGCTTCCAATTTGACTATTTTGGGCTTGGAACCCTTAAATGGGCTCTAATTGGACCCACTTCCATGAAACTTAACATTTTGGGCCATAATGGGCCTAAAATGGATTAGTTTACCCTTGATGGGCGTGGTTGGTCCATAACAAATCTAATTAACCCTAATGGCGATAAACCCATTCTTTTATACCATAATGGGCCGTGAACCACCTTAGGAGCCCAATGGGCCGGAAATACTAAGCTGGGCCTTATAACTTCGAACTAAGACAATTAATGGTCCAACACTATGCAACTTTTTCTCCTAGCCCAAGCTCTCGTCCCAACAACAATAAAAAAAGAGATTAATGAGGATTATTAAGCCATGACACATCATTTTTATTCAAAGGATAACAAGGGATATTATATCACATGCATCTAGGAATGTCTCATATATCCATGCACACTTCCCCTCCCCCCCTCCTCTCTTCTTATCTTCGGCCGAGAAGATAGAAAACACACACACACATTCAAAAATTATTCTCTCAAACACTCACAACAACAACTCATCCTTTCTCTCAAAAACTTCGAGATCTTAGGTAAGTTGTTGCTTAAATCCATGGCTTAGCTTCTTGATAACTTCAAAAATCTCCTCTTAACTCATGCAAAATTCGTGATCTTGCTTCTTAGAACCCATCTAAGCCAAAGACCTCTCAAGAAGCTTGCTAGGGCCGAGAATCACATCAACTCCTTCCATTTCTTCTTCAAAACCGAGAAAAACTAAGCAAGGTGAGTTCATACCCCCTTGTTTTCGGTTTTACTTGTTTTTAGGGGGAGAATATAAGTGTTATGTGTTGATCTATGTGTGTTTGCATGTTATATGTGATTTCTTTGGCTTGTGTTGTGAAAATGTGATATTATTTGTTATATCTTGAGATCTATGGCTAAAGTGTGAAGGATACATAAACAAAAACATAATAAACAACATACTTCAAAGATCTAAGAGTCTTTATGTTTAAGAAGTGAAAAACAAGGCCAAAGATTTTCATAAGTGTTATTTTTGCAAAAATAACAAAGATTTGGTTAAAAGATGACATTTTCGGTTTTTACAAGAATAACATGGTATATATCTGTATAAAATATGATTTTTATGGAAATAATACTTCTCAAGGGACCAAAAACATAAATTTTTTGCTTATTGGGCTTATATTTGGGCCCCAACGGTTTTTGGGCCCAAATTTGCGAAAATAATGAAACTTGGGGCTGAAATTGTAAATTTATCAAAGTATAAATAAAAAACGTGAATAAATTAAATTCAGGGGCTGAAAATGACTCTTTTTGCTAAATTGGACTAATAATGCAAAGTTTTTAGATTTTGGGCCAAAAGTGTAAATCTTACGGCAAATGGGTCAAAATTGTAAATTTTTAGCAAATAAGGGCTGAAAATGTCAAAAGTTGTATTTTGGGCTGAAATTATAATTTAAGATTTTATTTGGGCCGAAAATGCCAAGTTAAATAATCTAATGGACTAAAATGTCATTTTTTATCAAAAAGGACTAAAAGTGTCATTTTGCACCATTAAGGGCTGAAAATGTAAATTTTGTATGAAAAAGGGACTGAAATAGTCAAATAAACATTTTGGGCCAAATATGTAAATTTCTAAACAATTTGATCAAAGATATAAATTTTTACAACATGAAGGTTTAATAATGGTATTTTTATAAAAACTAAGAATATCGTTATAAACCAGCATTGAGTATTTTAACATCGAAAGTAAACACTAAGTGTAAACCAAATCCCATACTACAACTTATAACGACAAACAGATAAACGATTCAATGGTTGGGCCCAATATTTCCTATTCGTGCTTATTGTGCCTTCGTGACCCAATTATACGATTGTTGGGCCCAATATAATCAAAACATGTTTATTGGGCCTTGGTGACCCAATTACATGCCCAATGGGCATTTATCAGCTTTAACATGCTATTGAGCCTTAGTGGTCCATTTGCATTGCTAATATGGCCCTAAACATTCATCATATGCTTAATGGGCTATAACGTGTCCGTAGCATACTCGACAGCCTATAATAACATACATGATTAGTGGGCCACCGTTGTCCTCTTTCGTGTCTGTTAGGTTTACTTCATATTCACGTAAACATCAATCGGGTTGTAAAACAATGTTATTCAATTTCATTGGGATTTAGTGAGAAATAAAGGGTGGCATCAATAAGTGTCGGCTATAGCCTGTAGTTATAATCAGAGTGTCCTGGTGGGAGAGCGAGAGTTTGTGTATAGATCTATACGGGGTGACTCCCCCACACCTGAGTTGTTCGCTACAGTTAGACTCGGCCAGTCTAGGGTGGCAAAATCTTGATCAAAACCGACGTTTGGAAAAATGCCAAGACAGGAGAATTAGTCACTATTATGCATGGTTATAACGACTCACATAGAGATCCATTACCATCTAAGTATTCATGGGAAATCATATTCATACACTGTGACGATGCAAAGTGATTTATACAATAATACAAAACTATCATACTATTTAAATTGGAAAACATCGCGTTTTCCAGGGAACGACATTATTCTCTTCTACATACAACAACTATAATTCAAGGAACAATTATGAAAGGCATTCACTTTTACATGTTTTGAAATCACATACATATACACTTATGGGATCATCACATCTTTCTTTTCGTACACAGTTTTTGTTACAAAAAATATCGGATTTTCTGGGTTTTACAAACAATACAAACTATTTTTAAATCAAACATGCTTATGAACTCACCAACATTATATATGTTGACCGTTTTCAAAATAACTTGTATTCTCAGGTAACAGTTAGAATGAAGAATCATCAAGCGTGTTTCTGAAATTTCTTTTGTGCAATGTCAATCGTTAAACAATTTATGTTTTGTGATGTTGTAATGTAAACAATGTACTTGATGTGAACAAGGACAGTTGTAATGTATTAATGCATATTGATGTTTATGTTATGTTTCATGTATATTCATTGTGATGATATTTCAATTTAAGTCACACGAGCCCTCGGACGTTTCCACCTTCTGGTTCGGGGGTGTGACAGGTTAGAGAGTTAATATTACGCATATCATAGAGTTTTTACTGACGGGTTCAACGAGGTATACGATTCATTGCATTGGTTTGAAACACCTGCACCTTCTCGATATTGGTTGCATATGCCTTTGACTAGTTACCTGATTTCCAACAAGTTCGGTGTGATCGTTCATTGTTTAAGCTACGAACAATCTACGACATGCTTCCCTCTTTGGAGAGGCCCCGAAGAGTTCCAGCCCCACCGAGCCATTACATTGGCATTTGTAAATGGCAACCATTATATGTCGGTGTTTTTGAAAGGAAATTACCCAATGCCTCTTACCACAATGTATTGGAATGCCCACAGAAGTATGTCAGCATCTACATGGAAAACTATGTATTGGTCTCGTTTTGAATTATACAATCAACTTAGGCCTTATAGTTCTGTAGCACCTTGGATACATATCGATTAAGTGCGAAGGTATTTGAACTTTTTTTATTATCCGTTGCGTTGAAATATTATTTTATTATTGTCGTGTGTTAAATCAAATTCTTTTATATAAAATAATTTTATTAGATGCATATTAATAATATATAACAAATGTTTTTGTTTTATAAATTTAAAATACAAAAATGTTTTATTAAATAAATTAAATAGTTTGCACAACTAATATATGTAATACATATAAAAAAATGTTTTATTAAATATATTAAATAGATAATCAATTATTTGTACATCAAATAATTACTTAATCATTATAATCAAAAAAATAAATTTTTACATAATCATTTTAATCAATTAAAGAAAAAGTTAATATAATTATTAGGGGTATTAGTAGAAGGTAAAGGAGGTGTGGATAGCCTATGTAAAAAAAATGCAATCATTAACATAATTATAGATAAAAATATAAAATTATAATCTAATCATAAGTTAGTTAATACAAAAATCAACATAAAATGATTAGGAGGTATAGAAAGATTATAAAGGGGGTATGGTTAGACAACCCCTGTAATTAACCAAATGATATTATTGATTTTTTCAATTTCTATTTTCCTTATTAATAACTAAATTTCTATTTTAGATGCACGTTAAAACAAGTAACTGACCTTAAACATTTTTCGAAATATTACATATTTACTCATTTTATTTACATTTATATTCGATTCTTAAGTTTTTTTATTTTAAAAAATTATTATTACATCTTTTTTATTATTGTCACTCTTATTATTATTATTATTATTATTATTATTATTATTATTATATAGACACACACATTGTTTATGATACAAGGAACAATCGATGAACATAGTTATATTATTATAATGAGTAGTAAAGACTCGATTTATACAAGAAGTATTTCGAGATTATTCGGATCTGATTATTATAAAAAACAATAATTTTGAAAAAATAATATATATATATATATATATATATATATATATATATATTGTTCGTGTTCGTTTGCTTATTTAAGTGAACAAAATCATAGATTTTTTTATTTAATAAATAAACGAAAATAAATGAGTTTTATCAAATAGTTTATAGAGATTTGGATATATGTTGGGTTTGTGTACTAATATATTTACATTTTAGTAATAACTCTAAATTTAAAAATACAAATGTTAAAAATATATATCGAATTGAAACCGTACCGCATTGAAACTTTTGTTTTTGCAAAGCTAGAAGTTGCACCGTCGGTTAAAAATACGTATCATATTTAGATTCGTTCCTGACCCACATACTATTCAAATGCTAGTTATGTGGTCGGTTTCTATTAGGTTGATTGGATGTCAACGAAAGGCGTTAGAGATTGTGTTGATTACTGTTTTTTGGTGCATTTGGAATTTTAAAAATTTTATTATTTTTGGAACGGTTATACCTAGGAAATCCATCATTTTTGATGAGATGGTTGATAGATCGTTTTTTTTTTCTAATACATGTAGGAAAGCTAAGTTGTGTTTTAGTTTCTTGGTTTTAAAACCTGGTTTTAGCTTCTATTTTATTGTAATGAGTCTTTTTAGCTTTTCATTAGTTTTTAAATAAAATTACGCCGTTCTAACAAAAATTAATGAATTTTTGTCAAACTATTTAGAACGCTTGGATATACGTTCGTTTTGTTTATCGTTACATTTTTAGTGAATAACGATAAATTTAAAAATACAAATGTTAAAGCACATTGTAATTAAAATTTTATTAAATAATACAAAATATTTTTTTATAATATAAATTTAATTAAATAAAAATTGTTGGAAAATACATAAGTATTAAGATTACAAAAAATAAATTTATATATTAGTTGTAAGGTTTTATAATAAATATTAAAAACATAAAGGCTTAAGTTAAAAGTTTGATATATCTAAGGGGATGTATACGTAAATAATTCAATAAATTTTGATTTTGAACGTTCGGTAACCACCGTGTATCAGTCTTTTCATGCGTTTACTTTGACTATTGGGTTGTTAACTTGTTATAGGTTCTTATAGACGTGCGAATTAAAATTCCCCGTTTACACCATGATGTGCATAGAATTCCGCCTATAGGGTCTTTCCCATTTTTCACATAACAATCAACTTTTTTTTATTGCCCTTTTGCGCTCCGTAGAAGCCGGAGTTCCCCACCATTTCGGCGGCAAATCTTACCTTCGTCGCCACCACAGCTAGTGCTGCCGCTGCTGGGTCGACCGGAGCTACATCCAACGCCTTTTAGGTCAACCTCTTGTTCATCAAATTGTTTTTTGAAGGTAAAACTCTTTTTTTTTTTTTTGAAACTTTTAAATTCAAGTGGTTATATGTTGAATATTAGGTTTAGGTTTATGTTTTTATGTGTTTAAGTGTTATTTCTTAGATTTTAGGTTGAATTTTGCCATGTGATTATGTTGATTCCAGTTGCTTGCGAATTTTTTTAAGGTTCATACTTGTGTGATGTGTCACTGTATCCAAGTTGTCGAATTCACAAGGCTACGAATTTGACTTGTGTCAAATATTGTTGTGGATTTTTTTAGTATACATATATCTCTTTTGGTTTCCTAATAGAAGGAATTTAATAAGGAAAAGTATCGTTGAAGCGCATGGAGGGCATTATCATCATAACTCCAATAACTAAAAAAATGAACTTAATAACTATTTTCTAATATCACATGGCCTTGTTTTGCTACTTGTTTAGTAGAGGTGTGTATGGGGTGTTTTGGTTCGATTGTTGGACAAAACCGAACCATAACCATTACGATTGGTTAATGCATTTTGGTAGTCATTGGGTATGGCTAATATTGGTTATGGTTAATGGTTTTGTCGGTTAACGATTTTGGTTAATGGTTAATATTGGTTAACCATAATGTGCAAAATAATATAAATGGTGAAAGTATATTAGCATAAAAAATGAAAAGAGAATACCAAGAGTCACTGACACCAATGTTTGTAACCTAGGTTATAGTAATAGAATAAAATGTGTATCTTTGATACTCAGAGTGAGATAACACATAGTCACATTCAATATCAAAAACATTCGATAAAAATATAAAATATTAAACAAAATTGACATTAATAATTTCATATCAATGCGACTAAATCAAAAACTATAAAATAAAATAGCCAAACATTCATATTACGTGTTATCCAGATAAAAAAAGTCAATCACTCATATACATTCAATGTGATTTAGTCAAAAACAGTAAATAAAAAAAGTCAAAAAATTCAAAAAAAAAATTACATTCTTAATATATCACAAAGTCAAGAAGAACCAAAAACTTAACTTACCTAGAAGTCTTGATTATAAAGTCAAAGAATCCTTCGAACAGGACTATAAAGTCAAAATAATCTTCGATTAGGATTAACGGTGTGGGAAGCCTCTGATTAGGATTATGAGTGTGAAGATTAAACTAATTGTGAATAATATTTACAAATTATAGAATTAGCCGATTAGAAATTACAACATTATTCAGTAATCTAGCTCAATGCATGATTGGAAGATTGTGTGTGTCTGCGTGATTAACCTTTGATGGTTTGATTGCTCATTCGTCTCCTGATAAGTGGGGATTAATGAATTATATTTTGAAATTTTAATGGGTCTTAAATAAGTTTGACTATATTATTTTATATATAATCTATAATTTTTATATATATAAAGTTCGCGGTTCGGTTAATTATGGTTCGGTTAACCTATAAAACCATAATCGAACCGTTAGTTATCAGTTAACAAAAATTAGAAACCGAACCAGCGGTTTTTAAAATGTTTTGGTTATTATGATTCGGTTATATCGGTTAATTTGGTTTTGGTTCGGTTTTTTGGTTATTATGTTCACCCCTAATTTTTAGGGTTTTCTTTAAGAGCTACATCTACCTCTTAATTTTCACTAGCATCTTAATGTTTGTTAGTTTTATTAATATTTTGAATTTATGGTTTATATTAGTTTATTGAATTGTTGGTTTTATTAATATTTTAAAGTTACGGTTTAACCATATGCTATAAAAAGATTGTCTTATTGGAAAAAAAGTTGTTTTAATGGATTTTTCTGACCACGATTTAAAGATGAAGAATATACAAGCGATGAAGAAAATGAAATGGATTTTTTTTTTGCCACGATTCAAACGAAAACGAACTTGATTGTTAGGAACATTGTTTTTTGTTTTCCGGTTTAAATTATGTATGATTTATCATATTTGTATGTTCACTTTAATTATATGAGATTTATCATATTGGTATTTAACTGTTCTTGTTCAATCAAATGTAGGATACACACATTATGTCGGGTTGTCGTGGTCGTGATAGTACTGGTAGTCGACGACATGACTCTGCTCTTGGTCGTGACAGTACTGGTGGTCGACCGCATCACTCTACTCGTGGTCCTGAAAATACTCATAGTCGACCGCATGACTCTACTTGTGGTCCTGAAAGTCGACCGCATGACTCTACTTTTGGTCCTGAAAGTCGACCGTATGACTCTACTCCTAGTCCTGAAAGTCGATTGTATGACTCTACTTCTGGTCCTAAAAGTCGACCGCATGACTCTAGTCTCGGTCCTCTAAGTCGACCGCATGACTTTACTCGTGGTCCTGAAAGTCGACCGCATGACTCTACTCGTGGTCCTGAAAGTCGACCGCACGACTGTACTCCTGGTCCTGAAAGTCGACCGTACGACTCTACTCCTGGTCCTAAAAGTCGACCGCATGACTCTACTCCTGGTCCTGAAAGTCGACCATATGACTCTACTTCTGGTCCTAAAAGTCGACCCCATGAATCTACTCGCGGTCCTAAAAGTCGACCGCATGACTCTACTCCTGGTCCTAAAAGTCGACCGTATGACTCTACTCCCGGTCCTAAAAGTCGACCGCATGACTTTACTCATGGTCCTGAAAGTCGACCGTATGACTCTACTCCTGGTCCTAAAAGTCGACCGCATGACTCTACTCCTGGTCCTAAAAGTCGACCGTATGACTGTACTCCTGGTCCAAAAAGTCGACCACATGACTCTACTCCTGGCCCTAAAAGTCGACCGTATGACTCTGCTCCCGGTCCTAAAAGTCGACCGTATGACTCTACTCCTGGTCCTAAAAGTCGACCGCATGACTCTACTCCTGGTCCTAAAAATACTCATACTCATAGTCGACTGCATGACTCTACTCCTGGTCCTAAAAATACTCATACTCATAGTCGACTGCATGACTTTACTCGTGATATGTGATAATACTTGTAGTCGGCCTCAAGACTCCAATCCTAATGTGTGCGACAGGGATGTACATGGCTTACACCGTTGAATGTTCGTGATGCCGAGAACTTAGGTCGTGGATACGCTGGCAACACAACTCGAATGCCGTAGATACATATGGCGATAACAGGCCATATCTTGAGAAGTTATGTCATTTTAACAGTTAAATTTATGTTGTTTATTCATATTATATAAATACTTATTTGGTTATAATTCAATGTTGTGGGTTTGCATCCTATCGGGTACATCATCAAATTAGGCTTATATTTGATCAATTTTTTGGATGGAGCGCGGCCCACGTATATTAAGCTTCCCCCAACAGTATTTCAACATATATTTCGTGCTTTTGGGGTAATATATCAATTAATAATTTGTATACCTTAAGTTAAGGCTAAAGATTATGATATGATTCAAGAGTTGGAGTTTTTTATACCTATTGTTAAAGCAATATGTGTAATTTATCTTTTCCTTTTTAGATAATTAGTGTCCTAACTTCAAATAGTATAATAATAACATTCGTTTTCTTTGGATAAATTGTAGGAGAGATACACTAGTGTCATAGTTGAAAAGTAGGGGAAGGACCTAATTCAATGTGACATCCCCAAATTCACGGTCATTTTAAAATTTTTATTTATGCTTATTTAAAATCAGAGTATCCATTTTAAAGAATAATATTGCGGAATTTGTTTCCCAGAAAACATGATAAATATATTATCAAAGCATTTCCGAAGAAATGTATTTTGTTTATATTTGAACATTGCGATGTCATCGTCAATACATAAACCTAAGCATAAACAGACCTTACATTCATTTACACTGATGATTTACATCTCCGTTAATCTCTCAGTGTAATGTAGTTTCGTATCGACACCTGTGATACAAATAAACTGAGTGGGTTAGGTTGGGAAACCTGGTGAGTACATAGGGTTTTCAACCCACAATAATATAATTATTATGTTTAATCATCAAACAATTAACCCAATTTCTCATCCCCATTATCTTCTTTATTCTTAAGGATCTACCCTAAGAATCATTTATCCTTCATTCATTCATTCCTAAGGATTGTCCTAAGGAATAGGCACGAAGTCCATCGCTGTCAGGGTTTATCTAACAGGCACTAAGTCCAAAGTTGTCAATGTTATCTATTAGACACAGCTGTCAATATTATCCTTTGGGTATAGCTGTCAGGATTATGATGTTATCTATTAGGCACAACTGTCAATATTATCCTTTAGGAGCAGCTGCCAGGATTTTTAAAGTACATCTGGTGAACACATCGTTCACAACACCTACAAGTTATGTATTGTAAACGTTTGTACGTTTTTAAGACTTCTATATTATGTTTTTGGTTTACACAATCATTAAAAGTTATGTTCTAAAGTGTAAATGTTTGTATGACTTTTAGATTTATGTTTATTGTTTTTGTGCATGAATTTATAACATAATTTTGTTATTTGTATTAGTTTTTTTTTCTGCATTTTAGGCTGAATTTTGTTGTTGTTGTTTTTTTCATAGCTAACTTCTTTCTTGTAATTTCCTAGGAACCTTCTGTCACGAAAAAATGTCACGAGAAGCTGTCAACAAAGTATGGTACAAGGAAATTTCTCGGAAATACATTTCTAGGGAATTCCTCGGAAAAATGTTTCATATGTATTTCTTCGGAAATAAACTTCCTAGGAGATTCATCGAAAATAAATTTCCTAGGAAAACCCTCGGAAATACCAACAAAAATGATGTCTAAGAAAATCCTTGGTACTCCCAACAAAAAAAAAGTTTCCTAGGAAATGCGTCGGAAAGTTCCTCAGAGATCACTTAAAATTTTCCTCTCTTATGAATTAAGAGATTCAAGAGCTCCACATCAATGGCTTTTTAAACTTTTAAATTAGCATCAGGTCATTCACTACCATTCTCCTTTCTTTGTAATATGTAGTTTTGTACATAGTGAAAAGGAAATGTTAAATTGTATTCTTTTGACTTTTTAAGATTTTGTTTAGTATGACTTTCTTAGATTAATGTTTGCCTTCAAAAGAAAGGGAAGGAAAATATTGGCAGAAAGAAAGGGAGGGGATGAAAAATTTTCTTTATTTCGTGTTCCCGAGTTCGAAGGAAACGAAAGGAAATGACAGAAAAATTTTAAGTTTTTGTGTTCCTGAGTTAGGAGGGAAAATAAAATAAACTTAAAGATTTTACTTTCCCTCACTTTCTTCCCAAATCCGCCCAATTTAGGAGGAAAATTTGGAAGGAAAATATGGCTTCAAAATCTTTTCCTTCCACTCATTTTCTGTAATGCCCGTGTTTCTAGGCTAGGCATTAATATTGACTTGATAGTCTAGGTTAACCTTTGTGACTCATTTTGGAGAAATGAAAAGGAATTATGTGAATATTATGTGTTTTATGTGTTTTATGCTTAATTACTAGGGAGTTAAATAATTAAGAATAAAAATGAGCGTCAAAAATAAATATTAGATAAAGCCGATATCTATTAAGAAAGTTGTAGTGGTCGTGACAAGGATTACGGATATATAAAGAATGCCGAAATCCGAGTTATAACGAAGAAGTTATGACCTGTCGAAGTTTCACGACAAAACCGACACGGTGCTGAATGTCGTAAAAAGTGAGTTTTCGATAAACTACTTTTTAGCCTTAGTGATCTAAACGAAACTCGTAGTGTTCGTTAAACTGAGAGTAGGTATAAAAAGAACGCCCAAATCTGACTTCGTATGAGGAAGTTATGATTTTTCGAAGTTTCAGCTTAGCAGTAGACAGCTAAAAACTCGAATTTTAGATCGAGAGATTTTTAGCCGACATGACCTAAACGAGAATCGAAGGTCTCGTAAATAGTAGCACAACGGTAAAAAGACAGACGAAAACGGACGTCGGATGAAGAAGTTATGAATTTTTAACGGATTTCCTGTCCCGGTCTGTTAAAAATAATAATATAAAAATTAAAGTCAAAATTAGCCGACGAAGTCTAAACGAAAGTTGTAGAGCGTAATTTTACCTACGCGTGCATATAAAGAACGTCAAAAACGGAGCTCGTATGCAAAAGTTATGGATTTAGAAGTTTTTGCACAAAAATCGAGAAAATTCGCATAGTCACGTTTTTGCCACGTCACCCTCGCTTAGAACGTGCCACGTGTCCGAATTTGGTGAGTCATGCGAGCCACGTGTCCGAGCTGCTGAGTCATCCGAGGTCCTGACCTGATCCGAAGTGCTCCAGTAGAGATGCGACACGTACCCTCTTAGCACATGGCCGAACCCTCGCAAGGCTGCCACGGATGCCCTACTATGGACCTAGGCTTCGGTCCAATCACAAGAAGCCAGCAGCCCCTTCGCACATGCAGCCCTCGTGCAATCCATCCCCTGCGAGCTTCGGATCTGCGACACCTGGAGGCTTCTCAGTCGTTGGATCAGGAGGCTCGCCCCTATAAATAGGAGGGTGCGAGACCTCCCGGGTATACTTTGAAATTTGTCATTTTTAGCCCTTTTTTCAATATTTCTTTCATTTCAACTTCCCTCGAAGCCCCGGTATCAATTATAACCCCCCGGAATACGCCACGAAGTGCCCGAGAAGCCCGGAAAATTTATCTTTTCGGTTTCGAAGCCCGACCCTTCGCAGAGCCCGGTTTCTCAATAAAACTCCCGGTTTTATTAGAAACAATCGTTTTAGGAAACGAATTGCTGTCCGATTTTCATTAAATCAGGTGAGTGTGTAGTTACTTTCACCTTACACATAGATATGAAGTATTTTATATAAAATACGTGCTGTGTGAATATTTATTGTTTGTTTATTTGAGTTGGATGTTGAAGGTGTGATTTATACATGTTTTTAAATAATTTAAACTGTATATGTATTTTTATCTACAAAAATGTTGGGTAAAACATGGGTAGATGAAATAATGGGTGTGTGATGAAAGGTGAGTTGGATAAATGAAATGATCAGTGATATAGATCATAAGTTGAGGGTGAGTGGTGAAAGGAGATCATAAGTTGAGGGTGAGTGGTGAAAGGATATCATAAGTTGAGGGTGAGTGGTGAAATATGAGATAAGCCCTTACCCAAACGGTGACCCCCGTCATTCAGCAGAGTAGGGATGACAACCATGGACTATTCTAGACGATCTGTGGAACACTAGCAGGCCCGCAACCTGTAGGTGTAATGAACTATATGTTCATTTGGAGTACTCTAAAAACCCATTGACATGTATGACAGGGGTGAATACTGTCAATAATACTGTCAAAATAAAGCTATGAATTTAGCCCCTGTTGTATAAACCCTGGTGATGGTGTGACCTTGTGCCTATTCCTTAGGATGAATCCTTAGGAAGGAGTGATAGTTGAATATTAGGGTAAACCCTTAAGAAATTAATAAGATAATGGGGTTGGGGTAATTTGGTTGATTGATTGATGTTTAAGTACGATAAATTTATTTATTGTGGGTTGAAAACCCTATATGCTCACCAGGCTTCCAAGCCTGATCCACTCAGCTTTTTATGATTACAGGTAGTGGACCCCGAGCATAGTCGGATGATGATGATGATGAGTGATTTTGGATTATAGGCCAGTAGTTATAAATAACTGTTGTAAGGCTTATAATGTCTTGTTTATGCTTTTGATCTGTATCGGAACATGACATCCCGATGTTTTGATATAAAAGGAAATTATATATTTCTTAAAGAAAGGTTTTGACAAACTTTTGTCATGTTTTGTTTTGGGGACCAATTCCGCAACATCTTTTAGAAAAGATTTCTCTGATTTTATTTTAAAAAGCATAAATTAAATCGGTCTTTTCTGGCCGAGAAATTAGGGGATGTCACAGTTGGTATCAGAGCATGAGTTTAAGCGAACTAGGAAATTTGTAGGATTTCTAGACTTAAACTTAGAATGTTAAGCGAAGATTGTGAGTTGAGTGTGTCTATTATATTTTAGGTAGTACACCTAAATTGACACGAGCACTAGTTTATTTTAGGAAGGATG